ATATTGTTTTTTTGTGTTTTGTTAGAAGTAGTTGGGTTTTTGTTTTGTTTGTTATTGTTGTTTTTTTTGTATTTGATGTTTTGGGATATGTCAAGAAAGCTTTTCTTTGCAATTATATCTTTGTTTTTTGAGATTCAAATGTGTTGATAAATAAGTTTGAATGTTTATTTTGTATTTTGTTAAGGATTTTAAGATTGTTAAAAGTTGTTAAAAAGATTTTTGAGTTGTAATTTACTTGTTGCAAAGTTAATTAGATGGATAGTAGTATTGATTATTTTTTGGACTAGATAAGAATTGAGGTTTTTATTGTTTTTAAATTTTTTTGTAAGTAGAATTTAAATGTCAGATAATATTTTTTTAGTTGTAATTATATTGTACTTGCAAAGTCAAATGTGATAAATAGTTTCTGAAAAAAAGTTGCAGTGTAAATATGTGTCATTTGTATATATATGTGATAGTATAGTGTAGAGATAGGATTTGGTTGAAAGTGTATTAAAAAGAATTTTGAGATGGAAGTTGTAGATTTTAGATTAATATTGGTTTGTTAATATTGGTGTGTTTTTGAGAAAAGTTAAATTATTAGTTATGAGTGAAAATCTGGTTTAAATGTTGTTTAAGTATTATAAGAATAGATTATTTCTATAAAATGAACAGTTATGTTTATTTGTTTGATATATTGCCTTGTTGATGGAATAGGATTTTTGTCTGTATTGATAAGTATAAAGTGTATTGGTAAAGAATCAATTATATTAATTTGTGATAGTTGAGAGTTGATTAATTGTATTTTTTGCATTGTAAGTATGGGTTTAAAGAAGATGTAAGAGATTTGGAAAGTTTGTATTATGTTATAGATATTTGAGATAGTAGCAAAATATAGGATTTTACATTTTTTCCTATGGTTAATGGGAGGTAAAGAAAAGGTTTTATAATTCAATTTTGGGTATTGGATAAAGAAATGATATTCTTTTGATCTGTTAAATAAAAAGATTATAATTATTATACAATGAAGTGATAATTAGGAGTTGGATTTAATATTAATTATGTATAATTTGTAGTGTTGAATAAATTCCAGGTAACTGGTATAATGCCAATTTGGTATTTGTATGTTAGTAAAATTTTAAGAAGATGTTATTATATTGTAAAAGTGGGTTGATAATAAATTGTTATGTTAATGAGATATGTTTTTGAATTAGTGATTTATATAGATCTGGATAGATTAGTATTTGTGAGTTGTTAAGGGGTAGCTTTATGGAGGGTGTTTAGAGAATATTATTTTTGGTTGTTTTTGTTTTGATTGTATTATCTGATTGAGATCTGATAAAGAGATTTAGTAAATTTATAGAAACCAAAAGTTGGCAATCATGGGTATTTTGTGGAAAGCCTTGAAATATTGAAATTAATCATATTGTTTTTTAACAATAGATAATATCTATTGTTATAAATCAAAACTTATTAATCCAATAAAATAATTTATATAAAATATTGTTTTGTATTGATTATTAATTATTTTTTATTTTTAATATATATTGATATATAATAATATTACCAATATATTATATATTAATTAATTATAATCAATTATTAATAATTATAAGTTGATTATTAATAAATAACTTTTTTAAATTTTAAAAAAAATTTTTTAAAGTTAAATAGTATTAAATACAAATTTTATTGATATATATTATTTGTTTATTCTATCAAATATCTATTTGTAACATATGACTACTGTTAAATACTAATTTATTAACTTTATTTATCTGATATCTAGAAATCTATTACTTGATAATCTTTTTTTGTAATATTAGAAGGCTATGGGAAATAGAAATTTTACCACTAGTTTTAAACTATCTAACCTATAGAGCTTAATTATATAATCTTATATACTGTATATATTAATAATTATCTAAGTATAAGTTACCTATTACATCATATCTTTTTATTCACACAGTACATACAGTAGTAGGGTCCTTTGATACAAGTATGTACTTCTTAGTAAATGCTTCAGTTTTGATTGCTAGTTGGACATTATCAAATCTAGAAGCCAAATGATCAAGTAATATATAACTTCTTAAGAATCTATATAAATGCAGTGTTTGCAAGACACTATCTATGGATTGATACTTATCCTTTTAGTAGATACTTCAAATTCAGATTGGTTAATATAAGCTATCAAATCTAGAAGTATAAATATCAAGCAATATGCAACTCCTATATATTCTGTTTCACTATATGGTAACTATATCTTTATATAAGTAGTGTTAATTCAATGTTTTATTTCAAGACTTTTTATTTAGAATGAAGAAATTGACAATTGGAATTGACTAATATAGAATATACTTCAGTTTGTATATTTAAATATGATGTTATTGTTGTTATATAATGAATTGTGAGGCTTAATCAGAATTAGGTCAGAAGTTTTTCTTAATACAATTCTTTTCTTTTTTTGTGATCTATTGCAATTTCAGAACTATAGAAAAAACCAAAAGTCATTTTTATACAATTTAATTAGAAAGAAAGTATGGTAAATTTTTGTAACCAGGTGGATTTAAACCTTATATTTTTACCTGGTGACTTATAAAGTTTTATTATTGAGCTATAGACCTATAAATCTAACTTTTTAAAAAAAATTTTGATATTATTTATAATTTTTATAGTATTAAAATTATTAACAAATTCAATAAAAATTTGAAAAATATATAAAATAACAAATATAATGATTTAATCATTTTTTGAATCAAATTTTTATTAAAATCTTTTTTTATATAATAAAATTTTTATTAGTTATATTCAAATCAATATCTAAATTTCTACTGTTTATAATATTAATTTTATATTAAAAATATATAATATATATTTAAGTACTTAACAATATTAAAAAAAATCAATTAAATTATTATATAGATTATTTTATTTTTTTATTTCTATAATAACTCAAAACCAATAACTTATATATAGTAGATTATTAAATTTATATATATATATTGCCAACAATTTTTTTTATTAAATTTTAATAACTGGATTGAAATATTAATTGAAACTTTAATACAATTATATAATATTATATAAAAAACTCCAATGTATTATAACTAATATCTCTCAATTAAGTAACATAAAATAAAAAAAAGTTTCTTATTATTGCAATAAAAATTGATCTATTTGTTTTAGTTATAAAAATCTATATTTCAAATAATTTTAACTTTTCTAAATATATTATTAAATTCATTTAAAGTTATATTAATTTTTTTTCTTTTAATACTAAATAAATACTTATAGTTACTTGATATTTTTTGACAAGATATATTTTTTTAAAATTTATTTTTGATATTATTTATTTCATTTCTATAAACAAGTTATTATTAAATTTAGTATATTTGTATATAAAAGATGTTATATTTTTTTATAATATATATTTCTAATATACAAATTATATAAAGAAATAACATTTATCTTTCAAAAAAAAAATTAATATACAATTGAAGTTTAAAGGATTTATTTATTTTATTATATAATATATTTATATATTTTATAATATATTTTTAATATTTGTTTTAACACATAATAAATAATCCCTATATAGTAACAGATTTATCACTTATAGTCTTAATATTATATAGTTTAAAATATATTTATACTATATATTTTTTTAATTGTTTATATTTCAATTTAAAAAATTTTTTTCAAAAAATTTTGAAACATTCCATATCTTATATTATAAATAAATAAATATTATTTACTTGCAAATAATAATAATAAACAAATAAACCTTATAAAATTACAATCAAATATATATACATATGTGATTTATATTATTTCAAATATTAATTTATCGAAATTTATTTTAATTAGAAAAAAAATTTTATTTACTATTATTTTTAATTTTTTATATTGTATTTTAAAAAATTTATCTGAAATGGATATTAAAAATATACGTGACTTTTATGATTTAATGTAAATTCAAAATTTAATTATTTTAAATTACATGAGTTTTTTCAAAAGAAATTTATATCATTAGTAAAACCAGATTTAATGATTTTTTATATTTAATAAAATGGGTTAGTAATTTTTATAATAAAAAATTAACAATATTAAAAAAAATTTTTTTTAAAAAATTCAAATTACTGTAACAAAGAATTAAAACAATTTTTCTCGAATATCGATATGTAATCAAACCTCGATTATTTATTTTCTTTGTTTTTTTTTGTAAAAGAAAGAAATTACTGTATCATAGTACCCGGATCTTTTTACAATATATTACTAATCGTACATTGTATCAGCTTCTAAAGGGTGGTGATGTCATATCCTGGTGATAAAAGCATATGACCGACATTTCATCCCTTAATATTAATTTTGTGCTCGCTGGGCTAATGGTAACGGTAATTATTTATTGGTAAATGAGTTCCAAATTTACTGGTAAAATTTTAATCCGATGTCCGATGTTTAGTGTAACAAAAAAAAAAAAACCAAAACTTGGGGTCAGAAAAATATATATATAGTATATTATAAGCAGTAATACAGGATTTCTAGAATTTGCGTTTTGAGTGATGATAATTATCATAAGTGTTCGACAGTTGAAGGGCGTCGGAGTCATGATACTAGTCTTCAAAAAAAGTTTTTTTACGATCCAATGAAGATTATTTACGTACATAAAAAAATAATAATTGAACCCAATGTTGAAATAGAAAACTTTCGAAATTGGTGGCAAGTATTTGGGAAACAATATATTTTCGACGTCATATTTTAAATAACATATAGAAAACTTTTTTGATTTAGCAATTTTTATTATAAATTTAGCAATAGAAACGTTCACAACCTGACGGGCTGTAAAGCTTTTCGAAACGAATGATCTAACCGATAAACTTAAAACTAGCGGCTAAAAAAACACGGTAACGAATTTAGATCCGGATGAGAATAAGAGAGCGATATTGTAAAAAAGCAGGACTGGAGTCTCTATGTGGAACACCATAGTAAAATTTGTTGGGGCTGAAAAATGGGGACCATAAATGACTCCGGCTCATTTCATTCAACAATTGGCCATGAGGATCTTACTTGATTTAGTTAACAGTTCCGAGAATAATACAACATACATTTACTCATTTGGACTTTTATCACTTAAAAGCTTTGAAAAAAAAAAATCAAGGGGCTTTCTGCGCGACACACCTAAAACATATAAAGCGCCTGCATCAAAGAGACTACATGAAACACGATGATTATTTTTCTGAAGAAACAATAATAACTATTTTTAACGAGAGACTCAACCGGACAGTCGCTATGGCTATCTGTTAAAAACGCTTGAAGCATTGCAAAGAAGGGAAACCGCTGTAGCTTTTTTTACGTCAAGTGATTTTTTTGAACAAATTCGCAAAAGGTTGAAGCGCTAAAATTCTTTGTGCCGTCTGTTAAAGAAATTTAATTGATCATTATTAAATTCATTAGTTTGATGCTTAACAATCAAGGTTTCGATGTTCACAGTGAAATACTCGAAATTTTGTTGAGAATTCAGATGGATGGATATAACTCGAATCACATCACAAAACGCGATAAATTCGGTGTATCGCGAGATCAGTTGAAAAATGCGCGTGAATTTCCAAGGCATACGGCATACAACTCCTTACATCATAAAAATCGGTTCCGATTTATTCGCGCAACGGACGTTTACTGTCATTAACGATATGAGTGAACTTCTCGGCGTGATAATGTGGCAAATATTTTTAGAGAACTAGGACCGCAGATTTTTAAGGCTCAATGACAAGTCCGCGATATTCCCTTCCAATGGCTTACACAAGACGGTACGTCTATGGTCGTTCAGACCCGGATCAGGAGCCATGTGTTTTAGAAGGGCATATTGGTTGGGTTATATTATAGCCATTTTTTTATGGTACTCGATCAGTATGACCTTCTAAAATGCGTGGTTCCTGATCCGGGGTCTTGAGAGACCACAGTCGCGCCGTACTGTCGTTGCTATTCGACGCAAGGTGGGCTAAAGCGCGACCATTATTCTAGACTTGGCTACGTGTTATTTTTCCAGCTGAAATCCGAAGTTTGTGCGACCGTGATAAAGGTCATATATACGTTAAATTGAGCAAGAACAAATGTGATTATATCTGTAGTAAAGAAAATATACTTATTTAGTCCTGATATGTCTATTCGAAAATTGTTAGTTAAGTTATGAAAATCAATTAGACTTCCAAAGAAACCAACCAAACATTTAATTTTGATTTTTTAATTTTTTATTTATGTAACTCAGTAATTCTAAAAGTTTTTAAAATTTATTGTACATAATTATCTCGAAATAAATAAATAACAAATAAATAAACTTGATATTTGAATTTTCTTAAAAGATAAAATCTAAAATAATCGCGCGTAATGAAAAAATCAAAATGTTTTTAACATAAAAAATTTTCAAATATTTAATTTACAGTATATTGATCTTTTTATTTATATTTTTTGTAGTTTTTAAATGCGATAAATGACATTCGTTAAATAAAATATTAACAAAATATAATCAATCAAATAATTTAATAAAATACGTCAATTAATTGATTTTATAAATAATAATACATTTGCATATACTGTATATACTGTATATAATAATTTTAATAAAAAAATTTTTTAAAAAAAAAAATTAAACAAATCGTATAAATTATATATATTTAGTTGATTTTTAAATTTGAATATATTGTATAAATTTTTTAGTTTACAATCAAAACAATTATTATTTTTTAATTTATCAATATAAATATTGTTTATTTAAAAATTTTTTTTGATTATATATTGTATAATATTTGTTTATTAAATATTTAAATTATTTTTACTTTTTTATTTATTAATCAACTTGTTATCTTTAATGTTTTTCATTTTAATAAAAGTTGAAATTTCGTTTTTTATTTTTATTTATATTGCAATTTGAAACCATTTATGAATTTATAATTTAAATATAACAATATAATATAAGTGTTATATCGTGGTCAAATATTTTACTAATTATAATATATTCATTAAAAAATTTATAAAATTGTATATAATTTTAAGTCAAATAAATTATTTAATTTTTGTTATTTTATTGCTAATCACAAATATTTAAAGTATATTTATAACAAATTATTTATATAATCTTACATTATTATTTTTTTTTTCAGGTAAAGATGCTCAATGCTTGTGTGTATTTATTGAGTTATTTATATCCAATTACATATACATTTTAGGCCCATTTAAGTTAACTTCGCTTCTAAACCTATAGACTTACCCAATATACTAATTGACATTACAAGAATGAATCCACACCTTGGAGGAAATATAATCTTATATTATAAATATTATATGATTTTAATACTTTATAGTTTTTTGAAATAGTTAATAACAAAAAAATTTTTATATTGAATTAAAATAAAACTTTTTTTTAATCTTAAAAAGAAAATAAACCAATATAATATTTAAGAAAAAACAATATATTTGTTATTTTATTACAATTTTTAATTATATAATATTAAAAAAAATATATGAATATAATATAATATAATATAAATATATATATTAAAAAATATAATAAAAAAAAAAACTTTTTCTATCAATCAATTTTTCACCTAAAAATTTCCTTATTTAGTAATAGTCTTCCAAGAAAAACTTTTTCTCTAGCATTTTTAAGTGCACCCAATTACTAACTAACTCTCAACATGGAGTACACCATAATAAACAGCAACAAAAAACAATTTCTACATGCCACTATTCATTAGGATTGGAACCAACTCTTCCAAATTTACTTTCTCGACCTTAACAATAATATAATTAACAAAACAGAATTTGCAAGATCTCTCTTCATTATCCACTTTACAAACTTTCCTAACAATTTCCTTATTGTAAAAGAAGAAAAAATATTGAGAAAATTGTCAAAACAAGTACTACAAATAATATCTGTATTTTCAACTTTACAATGAAAATGGTTAAAAAAAAAGAATCAAGAAAAAATCTCTCAAATTTGTATCTCAATCTTCAACATCAGAAACACTCTCCTCAACTTCTAATATATCAGTAACATAGTGAAAAAAATGGAAAAAATTTAATTCAATACTGAATTCTATAATTATCTTTAAGAATCTTACTCTCTTTCTCAAGGAATTACAAAAAACCCCAGTCAACTTACCCCTGAAAATAATTGTCTGCCTATTACTTCTCCTGTTCTCCAAAAAAAGAAATGTTAATCAAACAACTACAATGCATACACATGCAAACCCCTTACTTATCATTTCTTCTTCCTTCCAAATTGATAACCTTATAAAAATTAGTGAAACATCTGATAAACCAATAAAATTCTCTAACCTCGATCCACCAAATTCTAAAAATAATAATTTAACAAGTACCCTAGTACTACCTTCTATCCCCACAAACTTTCTTTCTAATCTCAATATGGAAATCAATACCATCTATCCAACCAAGCAATCAAGTATTATGATGATGGATGATATCATTAATCTTGACAAACTCTCTAAGTTTTCTTCCCAGCCCACTAATTCAAAAAACACATCTTCTCCAAACCCTTCCAACCAAACTGTCTTCTGGTTATCATCTTTTAATAATTAAATCCAAAAGAAACTCCAACAAATTAGAGATATTAAACAACATGAAATTCTTAGAGAAAGTATCAAACAACTAGCCAAAAAGTTACTACCAGCTCCCAATGATATTAACATCATTATTGAAACAATCAACAAAATCTGTAAGGTATCCAAATACCCTTCATACTTCTTTCAAGCAATAATTAGCAAACTCAAATACAAGAACTATACATTCTTCAGTATATTTACAAACAAAGAGCACATAATGCCCTCTTATCAAAAAGAATTCATTAATATTAAGAAAAACTTCTAGGAAAAATATAAAAACAAATTCAATCTCTCTTTTATCAACTTTGAAACCAGAAAAAAAATTTGTATTATAATTTGTACCATTCTTTCTATTATCTTCCGCAGAACCATTGATATTGAAAATCTTTTTTTTTATAAATTAACTAGCATTCTCTTTTGTTTTATCAACTATTTTATTAGAAAATCACCTTTCTTTGTCAAATATACATTCCTCAAAGAATCCCTTAACAAATACTTTGATGAAATTCTTTCTGATATCTTACAAAACCCAAATGATATTCCATCCCAAGTTAAAATTAAACTTCCATGCAACCTTTCAATTATTGACAAATCCCATCTTATTCAAATAATCCACACTCTTCGCTCTTATTACAAGTTTAATAAGCTCCCTGAATCATATATTAAATCAAATTTCCAACTTTCTGACAACTCCAATGAGCTTTTAACAAAATCCAAAACTATTTTTTCCATCAAAAAAAGATATGAATTATCCAAACTTTCTAACTACAAAAAATACCTCCGTAAGGAATATCAAGTACTATTTAAATTACTTGATTCCTATTTTGAACTTCCTCCTTCCAAAAAACCTCTTCCTTCCATATACCATTTACTTGAACCCAAATATGTTTATCTTTTTCCCTTCAATCCAAGAAATAGCATATTAACTATTTATGAATTAATAACTTTTCTTCACAAAACTTATTTTTTCAAACTATTACTCAATGATTATTTCTTTATTCGAACAAAACTTCTTTCTTTACTTAGCAAAATACTCAATCTTGATATTAATATTTCTTTATCAATAACTAATCCCGTTGAGATTTCTTCTCTTTTCAAAACTTTCAAAAAAAAATCTATTTTCTACTCCTCTCCCCAAGGATTGGATTGACATTCTATCTTACTTGGATACAAAGCCACCTCTTCCACAAAAATTTGAAAAAGTAAATAAAATTGCAGGAACAAACTTTCCAATTCTAATCAAAAAATACCTCAAAGAAAATATTATTAAAGCCTACAAATACTTTTTATTTGATAAAATTCCTGATTCTTGGATCACTATTTCTAGAAAACCTCAACTACCTGACTTGTCAACACTTGCAAACTTTATCACAAATAATAATCTCAACATTGAACTGCCAATTATTAATGATTCTAACTTCTCAACCTAAATCCGTAAACTAAGAGAGCATTTTAGTTTTCAAAGACTTTCCAAGAATTATATTTTTTAAATTGAACTTTCTGAACCTTCGCTTAAATTTTTCAACTATTTCTAATGAATAACACCAACAATAATATTAATAATTTTTCAAATGATGAGTTTTTTTTTAAACACATTCAAAATCTAACTTCATTCTATACCTACTTTTCTTCTTTTAACAAATCTTCATTTCTTGAAATTAGATCTCTCAATATTTGCAGTCTTAATGATATAATCAAACTCAATTGCCTTTTAACCTATATAAAAAACAAAAACTATAATATTTTTGATTTCTCTGAAACTAAACTCCACTCAAACAAAAAAATTTTCAATGTTATCGACAATCTCCTAATTCATTCAAGCAACCTATTCTTTAGTCAAGCAGGAGTATCTATTGTAATTAACAAAAACCTTCAAAACCACCTTTATAAAACTATAGAATTTCAAGGATATATAATATCTATCTTTTTTCAATTCAAACTCAAAATCAAACTATATATTATCCAAATTTATTTGTTCCACAACATACAGGAAAGAAAAAATGTCACTATTTCTCTTCAAAACCTTATCAATAATAACAAATCCAAAAACATTTTCCATATTATTATG